GCCAAGTGCTGCAGTTACGTTTTTTGTCAGCAAGAATAACAGGACAGATTTACCTATTGTTGTGTGTGTAAATTTAGAATGACTGAAATTTCATTCTAACTTCTAAAATGATACTCTAACAACTACATTCTCTTAAGACAAATTTGATTTCCTAAAAAAGAAACCAAGCAACCAGAAAGACAGCAAGCAGGATATAGATAAAAATTATTTCAAAATTAGGGTAAAGAGCTAAATAGAAACATAATCTACTTAGCAAATGAATAACATGCTTATATATATATATGTATATATCATATGTGACAAATATTTCAGGTGGAATATTAACTATGATGTTTAGTACGAATCAGAAATGTGAAAAACAGGAATTTTCTTAATTGTATTAATCACGAAAATCTTAATTTAGCCTTAGCAACTTGAATCCATGTGACAATGAAGAAGGAAAAGGACGTGAATTCAAACAGCTGACACAATGATCAGCAGCAACTGACAGCATCTCATTTGATATTTGATATCAAGCACTAGATCAATATTTGTGAGATCAATGCAATTTTAATGGTTTTCTTTTGAAACTGTATGAAAGCCAAATTGTGACACTCAGTGCTAGGGTTATTTTTAGAGCTGGTTATTCCAGGGGATGATATTAAGTAATTTACTCAAGCAAAGCAAAAGGAAAAAAAAAAAAAAATCCACCACAACAAACCATCAATATTTCTTCAGTTGATAAATCCTGATTATCCAAGTACCCAGAGAAGGTGTGAACATTTATTGGAAAAAAGCCATTTATTTAATTATGGTTTTTTTAAAAAAAACCCAAGAAATAAAATCAGACTTTGAAAAATTATTTGGAGGTACGGGAAGATGAACTGTATCAGAGATACCTTTTTTTCCAACCACAATAGGATTAGGTGGTACTTGAGCAAAAAGAAATGAAAACAATAAAAAGAGAAAACCTAGGCCTTTCAGCTGTAGGGTCAATCCTCTCATATGCGGAATTTAGTGGGAAATTTTTTGTCTCCCTTGCAGAGCAGAAATATGAGAGCCTTATGTGAAACTCTTTGCAATGCTCCTCAAAAGGTCAAATCTAGAAAAAAGTATTTAGGTATGAATATTGTCTATTTTTTAATAAGGTTTATACCTTAAAAATAAAATGCAAATATATCTAACTCAGAGGCATATTGGTCCTATACATCTAGTTACATTTTGACTCATTTGCTTATCACCTTATTTTGATAAAAATTCTAAACATGGATTTGTTTGTTTTTGCAGATTCAATTTTGAGGATTTTTCAGCTAGAGGAATCCAAGACCTTCAGTCCAAACAGTAATTTCTGGGGAAGTAGATGTTAAGGGGGGAGGGGAGTATAACTAGGTGAACATTTCAGTAAGAACAATAACAAAGGTGAGGTGTGGTGATAACTGGGCAGTGTTTGTGACAAGGAGATGTTTAAGTTTTTAGGTTGTAAGAAAAAGGAAATATCTTTCATTTGTAATTCAGCTTTAACTAAAAACTTGGAGAAATTGATTCTTCACTTGAAATAATAGGGATGTTTTAGGAAATTTTTGATCTCTAATCCAAAGAACTCTCATTCTTCTTCAGATAGAGAATAAATACTTTAAAACTATGCAATTCTTAATTTTTTTAAATGTTTTTCTTCTAATGATTTTGTTGATGACAGTAAATTGCCTAATGGTTATATACTATTACACACAGATCACTTCAAATAAAAGGCATTATAAGCTCTTAAATGAAATTCATACCTAAGTCCTTTGCAATAAAATTGAATCATGCACCTAGTACATTCCTTAAGAACTAGGTAAAGACGTATTTTCCAGGATTTTAATAACTCCATAAAAACAGTCACTCTGCATGTCTCTATGCTCTATTGTATTTCAAATTTGGCAGGTTGCCTAAAAACTGAAGACACCAACAGTTTAAGTCAATTTTTCTTTAATGAAATAAAGCCAACCTTACACACAGACATCACATAGAGAATTTACAGATGCAAGTGAACTTGAAGCATTTTAAAACAGTATTTAACGCCTTGCAGAACTTGAACATGAAAAATTTATTTAACAGAAAGTTTACATTCATAGTGACCAACATATATTGAGCACCTACTATGTTATAGGCACTGAAAAGAGACATATTGTATACGTTGTCTGTATATTTCAGGAGGAATGAAAATGGGCATACGTGTCCTATGGATGGATATGGATTCACACACACACACACACATATATTTTTTTCTTTTCCTATTAGGTCTGTAAAAAAAATCCCCGAGCTATTTTAAGGAAGGAAATTAACTTCATATTCAATTGTAGTTAATTCAGACTTCTTTTGGTTTAACCATAATTTGAACAATAATTTTTCCTTATCAGACATGAAGGACAGTACTTCAAATTTAAAAGTTTAGTGCTCCAAAAATGCTGCTCTTCTTAAGCCACTTTGAAGTAATGTTAGTGAGTCTAAGATCCAGATCTACATGTTAATCTCTAGTTTTGCCTTCAAACAGAATTCAGTTACAAAGAACTTGGAAAGATTTTGAATCTATTCAGGAGACGAAAACTCTTTAATTTTCTGAGGAGTAAAAACTCCCCAAGAAACTTCATATAGCTTCTTAGATTTTGCTTAGCATACGTGATAAAACATTGATTGTTGCAGTTTGGTGACCCATGAAATTTGGGGGTTAGTTTTCTCTTCAGACCAGAGCATATAATTATGCAAATAAAGAGCTGTCACTGATCTAGTGAAATACTCACAAACACATGCACTCTGAAATTGGACAGAAAAGTGAAATTGGTTGGTGATGTGATGGTGCCATGGTTTGTTTTCCTGCCAAGTTTCTATCCAAGTTCATTATTCAAATTGTAAACTTTTAAAAGAGACATATCATTCTTGGGGTGTTGGTTGTCTTTTCATTTCAGATTCTTTGTATTGGCATTGCAGGCTGGCCACAAAGTACAGTTCGACATTATTTTACCTATGACAGTTTCCCATATTACTCAAAGTAATAGCCAAGGAAGAAAAAGATGAATTGTATGGAAAGATGGATGCAGGGTCTCTCTAGATTTCTTTCTAGAAACATGTTTCATGTCTGCTTCAAATAGAACTCCAACAATACAAAGAATATAGTAAAAAGTTTTTCACAAACCTCAAGGCAAAGGACTGGGAAAAGCTGCCTGGAAGGCCTCATGTATTAAGTTAAATTTCCCTTTTCAAGTTTTTTACATTTAAGGGGAAAATACTGGTCACTGTGTGATGTCCACTTAATGGTCAAACTTTCAGGAGTGCTTTCTCCCATCTAGCCAATTAAAGCCAACTATATACTTGGTGAGTTTAACCTTATGGTTCATTTACAATTACTATTCCTCTAAACCTTCATGCTAAGATGTAACAAGAGTTCTTCAATTTAATCATGCTCTTTGGCATTGAGGTCTCCCAATTCCAAAGTTACCATTACACAAGCTGTTGCATAATTTTACATGTCATGGAGAGTCCCACTGATGAAATCTGAGAAGGCTCATGTCAGACCACTGACTGCTAAAGACATCACTACATGAAAGATCAGTGGTGTGAAACTTTAAAAACATCAATCCAAATGAATCAATTAAATCAACATTCATCCCTCCTAAGCGTGAGGTTTAAAACTATCATTGTTGCATTTTTTGTGGTTTTTTTTTTTTTTTTTTTAACTCTACATAGATTTTGAGATAAACGCTGGAATGCTTTGATGGCTATTTCTATTCTTGAATCTCTGTTAATCGACTTTGTGCTACTTCCCTTTTTTCAACATCTTCCACTTGGTGTACATTCTTTACTTTTAGTACAGCGCATGACAGTTGCAATGCTTTAAATCTAAAACCGCCTAACAAAGCTGACGCTTTAGGTAGGGTAGCTTTAAGCTGTGTGAAGTGTTGATTAAAAACCCTTTCCCAGACTCAAACTGATCTTTTTGGAGATTAATAGAACATTAGATAAAAGGAAGACGAACAATTCAAGAGACTCCCACTCAGTCACTCTACACCAGGAAGGAAGGAAGGAAGGAAGGAAAGTATTCAATTTTTGAAAGGGAGTACCTCCTGGAGTCTTTTATTTTATATTATTACAGCCCCTAATAAGTAATCATAAAATAACCACCACCATTATCCTTTTTTTTTTGCCACCCATATTTCCAAGATGAGGATGTTTCACATTTATTTAAAGACATTTTTCTCCACAGAGGCATGAGGAAAGGTTCTGAGAATTTTTTAGACTTTCTGTAATAATCTTTCTAAAATGAATTAGGATGACAGCAACAGGAACCTGTCAATTTACAGTAAAAAAACTATGATTATAACAGGAGACATACTTGTGTTTAGTTTGAAACTCCAGATAATCCAGAGAAACATTAAGGAAAAAAAAAAAAAAAAACTAACTTAATAGCACTAATAATATAGCTAACATAGCTTGTCACCCATACCCTCTCAGAGGAGTTACAAGGTTCTAAGTGAGGAGCAGCTGTGAAATAAATGTAAATAAGTTACTTTCAGATTGGACATAATACATCAAGAACTTAGATATAGGAATTTGGGAGCAATTTTATCTCACCAGATGTTTTCAGGAGAACACATTTATTTATAGTATATTAAAGTTTATTTTTATAAAACCACAGTTTAGCAATGGGTTGTTCAAATTTCCTTGCTAGCTAAGGAGACATTTTAGATATTAAGAAGGAATGTCTTTTAAAAAATGTTAGCTTTGAGAAAGGTGCAAGCCAAATAGCGACCCAATTCAAGTTAGGATATCACCACTGCAACAACAGTAATAGTAATAATAAACAGCTATGTGTAAACACTGATGAACATTGTCTTACCATTCTTCCTTAGTTTTGCTTTTATTAACCTCCATCCAGTTGGTGAATAAATGAACTTCAGAGAAAGAATAATACGCCACTGCTTGTTGGGAAAATTATTTTTATTTTAAAATGATAAACAGAAATATATAATAGAAAAATCCTGTGCTTTTACTTTTTTTTTTTTTTTTGCATAAACAATAACGTAATACAGGTCAAAGCACAAGGCAGAACAATTACTACTAGTAGGTTTTTTTCTCCCTTCAAATATCCATGAAAACTTTTAAAGAGTGACCAAATCCCATGGTGAAGTACCTTTAGAAAGCTCCAAACAGTATCTGGTTTTTAAGTTTTGATAAGACTGTTTTGAATCTAAGAGTTACCAGTCAAACTCCTTCCTTCTCATTCCACTTGCTCTAAGAACTAAATATATAATTAAAGCAAAAGCCCACATCCTAACTTTAATTCTCTATTCTCCCAAAAGCCTGTCTAAAGAAACCAAAACGGGAGGAGAAGATAAGAGCAGAAATACTGTTAACATCTGGCCACCGGTAAGCAAGCGGGCTACTACCGACTGCTAGTTGTTACTCCAGGAAAATTGAGGTGAACTACATTATTACATTTATATCAACAGATCCATAATCAACAGGTTAAAAAATCCTACATTACAAGGGGTTTGATCAGTTGGTGGTCTGGGATGGTTTGCTTAGCTCTCTCCTGGTTGCCACAGCTCAGATCCACAAGTAGAAATTACATTTACACAACTTAAGTTTGCAAATAGCTCTGTATAGATAGTTAAACAAGTCTTAACAACCCAGTAGTTTTTAAAGTATTAAAGGTAATTAAACAGTGATTTACTCTAGTTAGAAGTACAGGTTTTTTAAAAGAGAGGTGAGAAAATTGAAGAGAAGGAATAGAAGGATTTGGTTTATAAACTGAGCACATTTAGTTTTCTCTAACTCAGCTGCAGAAGCTTCACAAATTTAGCATAGCACAAGTGCCGTTTTAAAAAGAAATGCTGTAAAATTAGTTTCCTGTGAACATGTTCCCAGACAATTTATAATACTTTGAAAATATATTCAACACACGTCAATTCTCAAAGCCTCTCACTGGAAGATACCATTATTTTACAGAGTTCGCTATGACTTCTAAAACAGGAAAGGTCGGACAAAAAGGGTCAATATCACAGACCAATGTGCTGGACACTGATGGTGGTATACCTTTTTAAATCATCTAGGAGCTGGATAAAATGCCATTTTGATTTTTCCTCCTATGTTGTTTCTGCTTAAATAACATCAAAAGATATGCAGACATGACCACTGAAAAAAGATCACTTTAATTTGCCATCATTAAAACTATAAGACCTAATTAATGTAGTTGTATGCCAAACACAGCATGAGATATTATCAGTTTTAAAACTTGCTGAAATCGCTTTATAATACAAAAATATTTATCCACGAGGCGGTTGATTTTAAGTTATTTTCTAGATAGTTGTAAGTCATTTTGGGTACATTTTATTATGTACTCAAATAAGGCAGGCATATTAATTGTTGCATATACTTTTAAAAAGGATGAAAAATATTAAATTCAGGTCCTCATCTATCAGAAACAGAATCTTCACTAGGTAATTAAATTCTTCAAGTAATTAAAAATTGACAATGTTAAAATTTAATATTTGGATTCAAAAGTCAGCAAAATCTTCACTTATTTTACCTCTTGTTTTTCACAGTGATGGCCAGAACTTAGCTTGATTAAAATACTTAATTGTTGAAACTGCAGGGCAAAACCCTATAGAGCAAGTGGAATGCTAAAACTTATGCCACTGGACTGAGAGGAGAAAATCTTTCACACCAGGTCTCTCTCTTTCCGTTGAAGAAAACTAAAATAATTATTTTAGCCCCATTTAGCCTTTCAAAAAGCAAAGGCTTCTGAGTCCACAGGTTCATTTTTCTGATGACAATAAAAAAATTCTATCCTTAAAAGGCCTAACTCCATGAAAGCTCAGAGCAGGTCATTCTCGTTAGGATTCACAATAACAGCAGCAGCAACAACAAACTTATACCACATTAAGATTTAAAAAGCAAAACTGAAGTGTGTTATCTAAATTACAATTCCACCCAATACACATTATATATTGAAAAAGTCAAGTCAACTCTAATGATAAAGTTGGAATTCCATTGAAAATGGGACTTTTCACACATATACTTAAAAGATCTGCTCATCATTATGTTTTGGTTTACACAGTCTCTTCTGTAATTAGAGACTTTTGTAAAATCTCATATTCAACTGGCAACGTTTTTAGCGGTTATGTGGATTCGATACTTTATAAATTTTTATGCAGTTTTTCTTCTGGTCTCGAAATGAAAATAGATCGTTAGGGAGAGAACAACTTGCACTCCCTAAACTGCACAGTATATAATGACATTTGTGTTCTCAATTTAAATCTGGCTTTTCTGGGGTGGGGGAAAACTTAAAAAAAGAGGTATAACATGCCCTTAGGGGGGAAAATCTATTTAAAATGGAAGTCTGAAGTTTAGAATAAAAGTTTGCTCTTGTTCAGAGGAAAAAGAAAGAAAGAAAAAAAAAAAGAACATGATTAATGGGGCGGCGGGAGGGGGTGGGAGGAGCAGTGGCTGCGCTGCAGTGGGCGGTAGGACCGCGCAGACGCCGCTCTCCCCGCAGCTCGGGCGCTGGCTCCATCAAGTGCAATTAGAGCCGCGCCGGCCGCGCGGGGCAGTGCGCTGTCAGCCTTAATCTGCGCGCTGACGGGCAGCGCGAAGCCGGAGCTCAGCCCGCAGGAAGCATGACCAGTGAACCCATATTGCTTTGACAGTTGCACTCATCTAGAAATAATGCAAAACGCTATTTAGATGTATATATCACGACCCTGTGCTCTAGGAAGAAAACAATCTAATGAGGGGCTGAGAGACTGCTCGCCGACAACAAGCAGTTGGGAGACGTGTGAATGCATGCTCGAGTGTGTTTCCTTCTCTTCCCCTCCCCCGCCTCGCTCGCTCTCCTCTTACAACTCTTCGTGCTTTATTCTGTGGGAGCGTCGCGTCAGAGCCGGCTTGAGGGAACTGGTCTTCGCCTCAGAGGCTTCGGTGAAGAATTTGAAAATAGACGGGAAGCTCTTCCAGGAAGTTAGCTCGTGTCGATCGGTGCCTGCAAAGAGCACAGAATCGGTTACGAGGTGGCCTAGCTCGGAGCCGGGCGCGGGTGGGGAAGTGAAGCCAGGCCGAAACGAAGCAACGGGCCGCCCTCCGCCCCGGGCCCCGCCCCTCGCACCCGAGCCCGGCCGCTGCCCCCGCGTTCGGTCCCGCGCCAGCTCCGGGTGCCAGGGACTACGCTCTTCCCCCAGGAACCCCGGCCCGCAGCGCTCGGCCTCAGTCCCTTGTCCGCCCCCGCGCCCAGCACTGGGGACGAGCGTCTCCGGGCTCGCGACGACGGGGAGGCTGCCAGACGCCGAGAGTGCATGGCCGGCGGGGACTCCCCACGGCACACTTCTACCTGACGGATCGTTTTGCAAACCCCCAGGGCTCAGAGGAATCAGGATTTCCGCCAAAGTCCGCGTTTCCGCAGGCGGCACCCGGGGGCCGCCGTCTGGGGGTCTTGGGCCGCCTCTGGCCTGAGCCTCGATCACGCCCCTAAGGCACGGCAGCAGCCGCGACTTTCCCCGCGGGTCGCCCGAGGCGCGGCCGGGCGGCCCCCGCTGCCCTCAGCCACTCCGGGCCAATCGAGGCGCTCGGCGGGAAGCGCCCCTCCCTCTCCCGCCTCGAAGTCACCCCCTCCCCAGTCTCGGTGGCGCGCGCGGGGATTGGTTTCCCCTGCGGGCGGGAGCCGGCTTCTACACTCAACCCCGTGTTTCTTTGCTTCCCAAGAGGAAAAAAAAAAAAAAAATCGGAATTTTCCTGCCTCTCCCGGAAGCTGTGCTGTTAGAGCACAGAATCGGTTACGAGGTGGCCTAGCTGGTCACTGGGACCAAACCACACAGGATACTTAAGGACCAGATTCAAGAGACTATGTCTTGAGGGGTCCTAGCAGGCTACATTTTCACAGACTTTAGGGGAGAGTTTTAGATAATTAAAAAAAAAAAAAAAAAAAAGGGACTACTAAAAGAGCATCTACCCAATACCGTCCAGTCGATTCAGACTATTGGATAGAACAGAATTGCCCATAGGGTTTCCTAGGCTGTAATCTTTACGGGAAGGAGCCCTGGTGGCACGCAGTGGTTAAGCGCTTGGCTGATAGCTGAATGGTCAGCGGTGCTAACCCACGAGGCGCTGTGAGGGAGAAAGATGTGGCAGTCTGCTTCAGCAAAGATTTATAGCCTTGGAAACCTTATGGGGCAGTCTTGCTCTGTCCTGTAGGGTCGCTATGACTATGAGTAGGAATTGACTGGATGGCAATGGGTTTTGTTGTTTGGTTTGGGAATCTTTATAAGAGCGGCTGGTGGGTTCCAACCTCTAGGCCTCCTATTTTGTCAGCAACAATTCAACTTAGAAAACACAGGGTTATCTGTCAATTTACAGGGTTATTTTGTTTTACTAAAGCTTCTTTTAATACTAATGTACAGTATTTTTCAAATAAAATCTATCCTCAGTTTAACACAGGAAGCAAATAACATTGACATAGTCATAAGAATAGGTGAGGAAATTCTTCTGTTTTTCATTCTCTATGATAGTTTATATCATTTTAGCAGTAGCTTCACTTCTGGGCATTTTTAAAATTAAAAAAACAAAAATAATAAGAAAACTCTCCCATAGAAACAATGAATGAATGGCTTTGAAAGAGTTGAAATCTTTCTTCCTAGATCCCCCAATTATGCAGAGATGCTGCCTGGAAGTCTCCGGATTCAGGGCCTCTGTCTGATACTTTAACATTGTTAATGATAATTCTTCAGTCTGTAATAGTAGGTCATTGCTATGGTTACTCTACAATGGTGCAACACTTTGCTTTCCCTTTCAGCTATTCGCTGAGACCTGGTAACCACATTTGTTGCCTAGCAACAGTTTTGTGACAGTATCACAATCTGGGAGTTACAACAATAAGGATGCTATGGCTGTGGTCTGCCAGAGAGCAGAAAGCTACAGTCTGTGCCTGTGACTTAGCTGTGGGAGCTAGCCCTAGCACAGAACCTAGCCCAGAGAACCCTCTATTAATTGGTGTCCTCACAAGGAGCTCTCTATTCCCCTCTCCTCTGCTGACTGCCCCTATGAGCCCATGTTTGGAACTAAGATCCAGTATTGAAGTCATATCCCCGAGGAATATCCCTCAACATTACTGTATTTAGACTAAAAAATGAAATCATTTCTCTATTTGTTTGCTCATTTTGGGCAAAATTCAACGTTATTCAATGGGAGGGAGGGGTGAATGTAGGTTTATCCTGGCAAATCCTAATGTGTCTGACTGGATTTTGGCAAATTTTGATAGAATTCTTGGAAAAAATTATGTATATGCCTGACTGCATCAATAGGTGTTTAAAATTTCAAGTTCTTTAAAATATATACAATGTCCAGGTATTTATTATTATTTTTACTAATTTATTCTAAGGACATTCTTAGGGATTCTTTTGATTTTGAGACTTATATTTTCACCAAACCTAAATAAGCAGTTCCAGATATGCTCAGACATATTTACTTTAAATATTTTGTGAGTATATCTAGAAGGGGACCCAGGTTCTGGATAGGTTTATGAAATGTCTATATTTCTATAGTGCTTGCAACCCTACTTTCATTTCAGTAATAACTACTAATTGTACTTTAATATTTTAAAATCAGTTGTATTTCTTTGTGAAAGACCATTCTCAGATGCATACTATACGGCAATGCCCACTCTGAACACAATAAGCAAAAGGGGGAAAAAAAGGTGTTAATTGTCTCTTTTCCTTCCCATTTCCCTTGCTTCTAGCCACATTTGGCATTTCCTCCATAGTGATCACACTTAACCTACTAGAGTTACCAAAGCTATGATCAATTTGTAAGCTTTCTCAGGGAACTCCTCTATAATTCCTACCACCCTTGAAAACCAAGCTATGAATCTAGACCGACCTAAAGAGTCAATGATCTGAAGCAACTTTAACCCCTTATTTATTTATTTATTTATTTCTTGGTGACAATCTTTCTGAAGGATGAACAAATTTCCCTAGCAATAAATTTACTACAAAGGTTTTTTAGTTTTATGTTATGATGACTCTCTGCTTGATTAGTCCTGGGCTGAAAAGACCAAAATCCCTAAGATAACTGAGTATCTGCACTGGCTGTCAACATTTACCCTTGCAATTTGAAGAACAGGTGCTTCCGTCACAGGAAGGGAACTTGCTAGGAGTAAAGGTAATGAAAGGAACCCTGATGGTGCAGTGGTTAAGCGGTTGGCTGCTAACTGAAAGGCTGGCAGTCTGAACCCACCAACCGGTCCAAGGGAGAAAAGACCTAGTGATCTTCTGTAAAGATTACAGCCTAGGAAACCCCATGGGGCAGTTCTGCACTGTCCTATAGGGTCTCTATGAGTTGGAATTGACTCGATGGTACACAAAAACAACAACAAAGGTAATAAGCAAGGTGGGTTGGAAACTGAATTACCGAGAACGGAGGAGGGGAATCTCTATAAAGTAAGGAATAGTAGCATGCATATTTTGCAACACATTTGGCTTGCTTTTCTAAACTTTTGGAAGCAGATTCTTAATAATTCTAAAAACAGCATTTAGAAATTGGATAATTGCATGTCCATCTGGGGTCACATATACACATTTCAAGAACATCTTTGGAGACCATTTTAGATAATTTAGGGTCAAAGTTCAACAAAAATATTTACAAATTAATATGAAAGTCAACCCATGGCAATGCACAGTGAATGGGAACTTTTGAGAGCAGCTTTCTAGTACTTAAAAAATATACCATTTGAAGGAAGTTAAGAGTGGTGCTTCTTAGTCTATCAGTAAAAACACACTAGGCCATTAACATATCTATTCATAAAAGGATATAAAAAGGTAAAGTTTAGGCCTATCAAAAAAAGCACTTATTAATAAGCTATTTATTAATAAACTACCATGATGTGGAGGTAACAGAGAAACTAGTCCATTTAGCACTAACTATGTTATTTTGAAGAGATAAACATGGTTTTATAGTCAGACCCTGGTTTTTCACATACTACAACTTTACCTAGACCTATCAAAAGCTTCTTATTTTAGGGGCTGAACTTCCCTCCACTTTTTAAGCCTCCGTTTTCCCAATCTAGAGGGTTTCCCACAATGTATCCAGTAAAGGGTTTTCTCACACTGAATACCTGCCAAGTTCTGAGGGAATGATTTCTTTATCCTTTTTAGATCGGTAGATTTGTTCTTACTGGGTAATTCACTTTTGGAGGTGAAATTAGTTTTCTAATCTATAAAATCAATGCAGCATCAAAGTAAAATGTAAAGGATCACAATGCTTTATTACAAAGAAGGGTCTTTGCTAAGTTTCAATCAGTGGCTCTTAATGGGGATGGTGGTGGCCTCTAAGGACATTTTGGAAATTTGTAGGGATATTTTTGGTTGTCAAGATGATTGTAAGGTGCTATCTGTATTCAGTGGGAGGGGGTCAGTGAGGGTGGACATTTGTAATTTGCAGGGCAGCACTGCAGAATAAAGAATTGTTCTGAATTCCACATGGTTTTCAGATGTTCTATCATGTAGTTGAAAAATTTGGTTACAATGATATGGGCTTAGAATTTAAATCTACTTTACAAATAACCTCAAAGTACTTTTTGCATGATTTTAATATACACTGAATTTTCCAGGAACTAACTACCATGTAAATTGAAGAGTTTTTATACTTCATGTTGTTCAGAATTTCACCAAGAGTGGCTTACCATATGAGAAAATCTCATCACTATGGCATCACGCTCACAATATTTGAATGGCCAATAAGCACTTCACTTATACAAGTAATAAAAGGAGCCCTGATGGTGCAACGGTTAAGTGCTTGGCTGGGTTCAAACTGCCAACCTTTCAGTTACTTGTAGCACTTGTATAAGCACTTGTATCAGCCTGCATTTGTGCCTGTTGAATTGATGGCCATTCTATGCACAGGACCAAGTATCTGACTACTTCATTATGCCTTTTCATGTAGTTTTGCCTGAGCATTTTAAATACTGAAATGCACATTATTTTTATTATGAGTTAC